GAAAAACGATCTTATTCGCAGCGTCGAAAATCGGTTACACACAGTTTTGTTTATTTTGAAAATTAAAGGTGCATATATAAAATAAGCTTTGCATCCTAGATCATAGAGATTTTCGCACTGCATATTGTCGTATACTTTTTGTTTTTTTTAACAAAACATATTAGACAATGAACAACTTATATGCAAAACGTAACCATTCATTTATTGTCCACTCGTCATTGTTTGTTTGTTATGTTCTTCGACGTTCTAATGAGTTAGTCGTTTATAAGAGAAGTAATATAAGCAACAAAAGATTAATCAAGCATTCCTTTTTAGCATAGCATTAGACTATCGCTCGATGATTGTGTAAACACATCGAGATAGATAAGAAAAAAGTTATTAACTTCTATGTAAACAATATATATGCTAATGTGTCAGGCATATAAGAAGATGACGTTGTGGAATATGATGTGGAAAACAAACTAAGAAAGAAAGATTGATTGAAAGTAGACAAAGAATGTTTAGAAACCATCTATATTAAGATGATGATAACTAGTTTGTGTTTATAGTGAAATTTTGACAGAAATTATATAAGTTTTACATCTAAAATTTCAATCGAGTTCTTAATCTGTTGAGAGAACAGTTTAGGGTTGCATGAAGAGATTAGATATTTCGAAAAGAAAATAATCTAAAAGAAGTTGCATCATTTGTTTCATTTAGTTATTAATTATTTTATCAAGATGAGACATCAGACATTAAAAAAAAAGCGAATTGTTTTCAAATTATTAACAATCTTTTACTTAAGATAATATTCTTCACAATGAGCATGTCAACTTCTATTTACATGACGTTTCATTATTAAACATAAGCCTTAAAAATATTGAAGCGTTGATAGGCAGAGAAATATTTATAAATTCGATGGTCACTAATATCATCGAACGATTATGTTCAAAATCAGAAAATGCATTGAATAAAAAACTTGATTAGTTGTTGCTTTGTTTAGAAAAAAAAACATTCAAAGTATTGAAGCACTTTTAGAATAGAAATAGAAAGAAACCAATTATTACAATATTATTTTCTGGAAAATATTCGTATAAAAACAGCTTGATAATGAAGATATAGAACTGACGATTTTTTAGATGAATTATTAATAAGAATTAGCAGATTACACAATAATTTATTTGCCTAACATTGAGTAAAAGTATTTTTGTGTCGTAGATTTTATGCTATATTAATTTCTAAAATGAATGCTGGTCGAGAGTTGGTTCCAACTTTAATTCAATCAAGTATATGGTTGAAAGTAGACTTTTAGATTGTTTTGAGTCCGATATTAACTGTAGACAAGTTGTTCTTAGTAAATCCAACATTAGATTTCATTCGTTTCTATTTGTCAGAATTCAAGTTAGTCACCATCTTTATATAGTTGTACGAAACAAAATCCTCCAAATTTTAATAGTTCTCAAAATTAAATATGAATGGTCTAGTTTTCATATTCCACTTCGTCGAAATCTTTTATTTTCTCTTATTTGAAAAGGTTATTAGTTAATAGAAGGCTAAATGTGTTTGTATCAAATCACTTCTTTCGAAAAAGAAGATTTTTGATCGTTTTTTGTGATGTTACTTTGGTAAGAGTTGATCAAAAAACTGCTTTGATCGAGAAATTTTGCTGGCTTTCGCGTGAAGTATCGGAGATTTGAAGCATTTTTTAGATACAAAAATGAATAGTTCTCAACACTGTGCTCTGAAGAGAAGTTGAAACAGTAGATAGAAATTAATTTGAAAATAGCTGATTTTGCTCAGTTTTTGACGCTCTATGTACTGATATATTACTTTAAAAAGTCGACTTGATCTTTTGTTTTGGCGACAAAGATAAAGTTCTTGACGTCAAACTTTGAAGAGTTCACCTTGATTTGATGCTTAAAATGTCATGTAATTAAAATGCTCGCCAAGATTTCAAATACGTTTAAGCAAGTTTAACATTTCAGACACATATAAGATTCATTCAAAGTCAAACGACGTGTCATTCGAAAATAATCGGCTGTATCTCTTGGTATTAGACGCATGAATACAATGAAAGCGTCGCGTCATTCGTCAATATTTGCTCGTGAGATCTTTTCAGATTCCACTTTGATCTGAAGACCGAAAATGTACCACTTACTACAAATGGCGCAATCAGGAAGCGTTCTGAATCGCTGATGATGACATCCGTCTGCGCTTCGCTTTGCAGTCGTCTGTGGCCTATCGTCAGTTTTTGCCTAAAGTAAATCTGTGCCTTTTCAGATTTTCTGGAATCGAGAACGATCGTTTCTAACTTTATATATCCTACCAAATTTCAGTAAAACTGGTAGCCGAATTTGAATGAAAAACAGTGTAAATAGTAGGAATACGCCAGAAAGTAACCGACTAACTTCGATCACCATGTAGCAGCGAATTTGAACCCATCCGACAAGATCCATCATACCAAGGTCGATCTGAAATGTTAAGTGTTTGACTAATACATGTGAGTAACTGATAGATCTTCATCATGTTGACAGCAAATGTTTCCACTATTGGTGATGAATGCATAGTTTTTGTCATGTTCTCCTAGACATTAGCAGCAGTTAATGTTTTATATATCTAATTGTAATATCTCACCATTGGTCATCTGTACCTTGCATGAAATTAGCACAAGCGTTTGGCATTATGTTGGCTTAAAATTCAAAACCTTGCCCTAAGTTACACGTTTCCACACTATTTAATACTACTGATCACAATGAGGAATAACTTCCACTTGATTGAAATCTGTTGGCAAAATAAATCCAATAAGGTATCGGCTTTCACAATCGTTTTCGATTTTTCTAGCAACATCTAGCATACCGTTGGTATGAAACGGTAAATTATTTTTGAAATGTATGTATTAGTACGATAGTTTCTGGACGATCTATCTCTCTTTTCCAACGGTATTGCAGGAAAACCCTGGCTACTTGACACTGATGACATAGACACGAACTCGAGCGATGAACTTCATGGCAGAACAACGTGTCAAGCACTAGCCGTTCTTCAGGACAAGGCACAGCGACATAAATTACCCAATGATCATCATGCATTTAAAAAAGTAAATAAGAACGTACACAGACAATCCGCCTGGTAGTATGATAGTGATAGATCCGCAGCAAATACCATTTCAAATGTATATAAAATAGATCTATGACAGTTAGATATCAGTTCCAATCTTGAGAACTGCTTCAAGAGTTTTTTTGGTAGGAACTGATCTATATAGCAGTTCTTTTTGAATGAAGTGGTGTTACTAAACAACTCATTTTAACCTATACATTAGATTTGTAATTGCTTCAATCTAGACCATGTTTCTGAATTGCATAAATCTATTGGAATGAAGCTAATGGAAACTGAATGTTAGAATACAAGGACTGGGTTCTGAAAAAATGAACTAGTCACTGGACACAGTTCTTAAAAACGAATCGATTCATAGAATTGGGAACTTTTTCAGATCTAACACTATATCATGGATACCTTGAAAATGCTCCAAGTTTCTAATATTCCAAGGAAAAGTCGATAAACCTTTTCGCTCACTAGAGAAGATATAGAAGATGATGAAGCATATTGAAGCAATGGAGCTAGAAGAAGTAATTGAGATTCTAGATTACGTGACATGTTAACCTTGAGAGTTACCCTCAAAATGTATGCAGATCTGTATGCCAATATTCTGTGGCACCGTTACAGATTTCAATTTTTAAGATATTTTGAAAATGCTTGGTGAGATTTGATACGTTCCGTTAGCGTTTCATTCTATTAATAGCTTGATAACACATTTTTGCGAATAAAAGATTATAGTACTAATATCTGTATTAGAATTAAAGAGGGATGGGTGAGGTTAGTCTAAATATCTCATCAATGGCAATAGTTAGCTACTTGTAGTTTTCAGCAATCTAAAGAGGAGAACTCCGGACGTCTTTTTGTTCGATACTATACAAGACAAAATTATGTTAATACTCAACACCATCATAAAAAAAAAATTTTTAAAAATGCATGAAAATAGCGTTCCAGTTCGATATAATTTTGACTTTGACACGTGCTTCTGATAGAAGAACTTCAGATCTATATATAGTTCACGACGTGATCAAGATGATTATCTTTTCATATCTCACTGTTGAGCAAACGAAATTGAGTATCTATCCAGTTAATTGTTTAAAATTATTTTGGCTTGTAGCAAATTTTCTTGAAACAAAACACCGTTTTCGTACATTTGTTTTGGATGTTTTGAGAAGTTAATGGGTTAATTAAAAGACATTCGGAGTTCTCCTCTTTTCATTGTTGGAAATCACAAGTAGATAACTATTGCCGTTATCGAGTCATTGAGTTTATATCCACTCCTCTTTAATTCTATCGTTGTCATCAGTTCTATGCTTCATCTACGCGAATTAACTATGTTGTTGGAGTTGCATCGTATATCTCAATTATCTCGTATATTTCCATTATCTTCATTACTTCCTACGTCTTCATTAGCAGAATTTGGAAATTCATAAAAAGTATGATACGATAATTTATTCAGAAATTAATATTAAAAGATAGCCATTTTTTTGTATCTTTCAAACTTGAACAACTTTTAATCTATCAGTCATGAATATCGTTTCTATTTAATGGCATCTTTTCGAAAAACAAGTAATCTAATCAAACTAATCTAATGGAAACTAAAATTTGAAAACGATTTATTATTTGAAGATTCAGATTAGTTTATTTCATGATCCATCCATGTCTTGAAAATCTTCTTTTTTATCAAGTGAAGACAATAGAACTTGAGTAGAACAAACGACAAAAAAGCAAACAATACGGATTAGTTCATGTGAAAAAGACAAAAACAAAAACAAGTCAACGAATAGATAAAGAAAAGCAAGTTGTTATCAAAAACAAACTTGAATAAAAAACAAAGAAAAAAAAAAGTTTTGATTTGATTTTATCGTTTGTTTTCTTTTTGATTCGTTTTTCATAAATCAAATGCAAAAATCAAATCAATAATTGAATATTTACAATTTGCTTTTTGAAAATGATACTCGAAGATGCATTGAATCAGCTAAACGATAATTATGTGTATTCTAAACAAAACAAAGAATATTTAAGAAAATTATTTATTTTTTTAATTTTTATTCTTACAATTAAAGCAGCAATAGCTTCTTCAATGGTTTCCATTTCAATTAAAGCCATTTTATGATCTTTTTCAAAAAATTTAAATCGTTTTATTTTACCATATTGAGAAAATATATTTCGTATTTCTTCTTCACTTATTTCATTTCTAAATCATTTTTCAATCTTTTTTTCGACAAATTAAATTCAATAGCTTTACATACGGTATATTTGATAAATGAAGTACAGTTCCTGGTGGAAAAATATTATTATAATTTTTTGAACCTGGTTTTTTAAATCGATGTAATGGTGAATTTGTAAAATCTTTTGTTAAACCCATATCCTAGAAGAAGAAAAAAACAGACAATAATATAAGTATAGAAGCATTTAATTTATTTTATGTTTCGTACCGAAGTACCATCTTTTGGCATTTGTACAAATTGATGTTTTGAAAATGAAACTTTTATTTGTTTACCAAACATTGTTATATGATCAAGATTTTGATGAGCTAAAATAGTTCAATAAATTTATGTTCATTTTTAGTTTTTCTTAACTCCTACCAACAGCTGCTTGTTGTGGTGTAGCAAATTGTATTAAGGCTGAATCTTTTTTATTAAATAAGATTTTCACCCGATGCACGTCACCATAAACACCTACGAGTAGATTCATAATAAATATTTGAAAATATACTTTTATTTTATATAAGTCGAATTTAATGAGAAAAAAAAACAATATATCAAAGGTGAAATTAACAATAGAAATAGTATTAATGATAAGTTTTTAGAGAATAATAGAAAGAGCTATTTCATTCATTACGTACGAAGAAAATTCTCTTGGAAAACATAATGAGATTATCTTTATTTCGCTTATATTCTACGATTAAAAAAAGTGATGTTAATGGCAATATACTAGTCTATATGTGAAAGTATGTAGTGTAAACTGCAAAAATGTGATAATCTGTGTAGTAAAAGAGATCTACTTCTGTTCTATAGAAAATTTAACGTTCATTGACGATTGTATGTCATCAAAGACACTATCAAAAAGTTGATAGGTCCTTTTTCTTTTCCACATCAATCAATAATGGATTATTTTAACCTTTGGTGATCTTATGATAGTAATGCTTGTTCTATGGTGCAATTCAGACAACAAATTACATTGATAATAGTTACAGGTAGCGGAACGTTTTAATTCTATAGTAGACTTAATATTTTTTTATAAAATTTCCATTTAGAAGTAAGAAGTGAGAGAGAATCAGTTTTGGTAAGTTATTTAGATGAAATACAGTTAGTGACTCTTTTCTCAAGTTTACATTTTGTAACGTATCACAATAATGCAGACTAGAAGTAAAGTTTGCAACTGGCATAAAACGACGTGTATTTGAAGAATGATGCGAATGTTTATGCAAATTTCGAAAGAAGAGTTTCTGATCTATTTTACTGGTAGAAAAAAAAAGTTTAATAGCGAAGCAGAAATGTTGACAAAACAAAACAAAGAAGATATTGCACTGTGAAATAAATGTATAATAGCTATGGAATCTTACGAAAGAAACTTCCTCAGATGTTCCCTTCTAATTTCAATGATTTGTTTTTGCCTATAGATACTACACAGCATTCTAAAAGAAACCCTAAAAGGATTTTTATTCCTATTGATATTTGACTGAACTATCAAACTTTTAAAGTATCTTTTTTTCTGCAGATCCAAGTTTTCTAAAAACCTAGAATCCACAAAATAGTTATATTAAAAATTCGATTCCGTGACAAAAACTCAATAGAAATCGAAACTCGTTTGGAGTTTTCATCAGAATATTATGTAGTATACGTAGACAACATATCATTGAAATTGGACGTGACTTCCTTGTTAATCACTGAAGAGAAAAACAAACTTTGGCAAACTCAAATAATCTGCTACACTAAGAAAATGATATTGTTAGTCGGTCAAAAATATCTACACTTGTACAAAAATTGTGAAACGGTGCTGAACTCTATCGATCTGATGGAAGAAGAAAAAAGTGTTTCAGCCAACCCAAGTCTACTGGTTCCGCTACCTATGTTGATGTTTATCTTTCTATTGTACGTTAACACACGTGCCCTAAGGAAAAGACATGAATAATTTTTTCCTAATTTCAGATCTGATTATTTTCTTTTGGCTATGGCTGTACTCAGTTTCTTTTGTTTTTCTTTCTATTATTCTCTTTGAGTATTTCACCTTGTATATTATTCCTTTTTTTTTTTTGTAATAATCGCCATAGACTCGTGTCAATCACTTAGAAGACATGAGATATTGTTTGAAGAATGGGAAAATAGAGAAATGAAAATAATAAAAGCTATATTGTTTCTTATTATAAGAAAAAAAAACATTAAAAAATAATATATATATATAAAGTATGAAAAGAAAGAGAAGATAACACATACCGAATAGTGTGAATAAAGACTCTGGAGTCGTCATCTAATCGTCCAGACGAGGAAAATAAAGAAAAAATAAAGAAGAAACGAATAGAAAGAATTTCAAAAAAAATTATAATAAGATAGATGTGTTAAAAGATCAAAAATGAAAGATTGTTCTATCTTATCATTCAAGAAAACTAAAATTTAAAAACATATATATTTCTATTTGTCAAACTTACGTCTTCATTAAGATTAGATACAAGTATAACTGGTCCATTCTGAACAGGCATCATATGTGGATTTTGCTGTACCGATAAATTATGTTGCTGTTGTTGTTGAGCTTGATGATGAACAGCATGCATATGTACAGCAGCAGCAGCTGCATGACTTGGTGGTAATGTATGCATAGGTGGAGCTTGATGATGAGTTGAACCATATGGATGACCATATGGAGGAGCAGCTGTGCCTGTCATTGGATTATATGCGGCTGATGTCGCTTGTAATGGACTCATTAAATGATTACCACCTGCTTCAAGAAAAGAACTGTTAGCAGAATCCCTGTGAGATTAAAATATGAACCACGATGTAGCTAATGTTACTAGTCTCCGGAGATTGCTTTCTTCTATCTATTTTAGAATGTATTTCTTCATCATTCTTTTATTTAATCCTCCGGAAATGCAATACGGAAGTAATTCATATATTAGAACGAGACGTTATTGATATACGGTCTTTGATCATATATCAACAACGTCTGTCGCAGTCTGTGAATGGTAAGTTCAAATTTGTACTCCTATACTACAATACTTGTTTTAGATCGTGTTTCAAAATATTATTCTTTTCGAAAGAAATTTAGTTTTTGTGTTCTACCTTGAATTTCATAGCTAGGTGTTCCAGTAGCTGATGGAGGTCTACCACGAGTTGGTGCAGTATAATAATCTGAAATTAGAAAATTATTCCGATCCAATAAATAAAAGAAAAATAAGAAAACAAGTCTCTGTACCATAACGATAATCTTCATTAGAACTTGATCGTTGTAATGGAAGAAGATTAGCGTTTGAATGCATTCGTTCTAAAAGAAAACAAATTAGTAAATTCAATTTTTTAAAATATTCAATAAAATCTACATGCCTAATTCTTGTTGTTGTGATATAGTTCCTTCGCCTGAGGGTAATGTTGGATTAGTATAATCTCGACTTTTATCATTATTAAATTTAACTGTAAGTGAATGAAGTTTTGAATATTCGATTTGAAGCTACAATAAATTTTCTTTCGGTTAAACATATTTTATCTAATATTTATTTAAGCTTACTGTACAACAACCATTATAAATATTTTGTCCATGTAATTGCTAAGAGAAAAAAAAAACAAAATTAAAATTTACTTCTGTCATTTCGAATAAAATGCAAATCTGAATTTGATTTGATAGCTCTTTGAAATTTAGCTACGATCTTTTTTATTCGATATAAAGATGAATTAATGTCATTGTTCAAGATTCATCGCATAGCTCATAATTTAATTTCAGACACTCATCATACTCAATTTAGCTTTGTCATTCCCTACTTATCTTCAAAATATGACATTTACAATCTTCTCATCGGTGCACAAAATCTTATGTCTTTTATTCGTAACATGAAATTTCTCCTTATTCAACACGCTCTTACTAATTTTGCTTGTGCTGCTCCAATTGGATCTTTTGATTGAATTAATGCTTGAAATTTATCTAAATATTCAAAATATTAAGACAAAAAAGACTTTTTTTTAATTTCTACCATTTTTTGTAAATGTAATAATTTTAAGTACTGTACCAAATTTACTAAAGATCTAAAAAAAAATTAATAAAATAATTCTCATTTAGTGATGGAGTTCACAAGAGAATCACTCCAGATGTCAGATTGCTTTTCGACTGAGACGATATTCATTTAATGAGTAATAGAAAAGAGTAGAATGGTTTAGTTTTTCGGGACTTTGTTCTTGAGATAACGAAATTTTCTTGGATTTTTTCAAGAAAAAGCCGTGATTCCCCCCCCCTCCCCCCACACCTTTCATGTCACTTAGAAAATCGACTTTCGGCCTCAAACTTTGCACACATAAAGTTCTCAATGAAATTAGCCCGTTGAGTAAGTTGCAGCTTTTCTAGTATCTCCATATATTGAGGTATTCGAAAGTTTCTCATGTATAAAAGTAAATTTTCCTGAGAAGGACGAGAAATTTAGTAAAATTTTCGATATGTCAAGAACGATGGCTTGATAAAACAAACCAGTTTAGATTTTTCTATTACTCATGAAATGAACGTTGTCTCGATCGCAAAAGTAGGTATATTTTCCTTTTACAAAATTGGAATGCCACATTTCTGGAATGAGACTGAGCTTCTCTTGTCGTCGCCACTATTCACATTATTTTTCAATTACCTGATACAATACGTCAATAGTGACAGGAAATAACATATTAATAATGCTAACACGTAATACACAATTTGGTCCACCTTTTTGTGCTGTTTCATAAAGATCAGTAGCTTGTACTAAAGCAACATGTGCTTGTTGATTTGTACGATTCGTTGGATCTGTACGAAGTTCACCATGATTTGAAAATTGTGCAAAAACTTGTCGACCATTAAGCATAGCTGGCATGGATGTAAAATAATCAACCATTTGTTTTGCTGAATCAGTTGCATCAAATTCAAGAAAAGCCTTCAATAAATTATTAATTATATAAACAAAAAAAAATAAAGGAATATTATTGTGTTTAAAATACCTGTGCTTTTTTACGTAAATTTAAAAAATTTGTTACTCGACCAAACGGAAGACCAAGTTGAACAACTTCAAGTTCACTGGCTTCTATATTTCGTAAATGAACAACACGAGAAGGTAACGCTGGTTCAGAACGACTCTAATTTAAAAAAAAAACAATAGAAAAAATAATATTTTTTCATGAAAAGGAATTTACTTTTTTAGTAATATCTGTCATTTGAGAGTTGGAGTTAACAAGACCATCAGCATTTGTATCAAATTCATCACCTGAAAATGTGCGCTAGGCAATAAATGAAAAACAAAAACCTTTTTTCTATTTTTGCGTAATATTTTCATGTCATATACCTTCATATTGATCTATAGAAAAAAGAGAAATTTAGTTATACTGATATGAAAGAGAAAGTAAATAGCAACATACTTCACTCGAGCACAGACGCAAACACAAGTCTGTAAGCTCGTATGTCGATGCTGAATTGAACGTTTTGAAGTGTTTCTACACAATATTTATTCTTATTTCTATTTTTATTCGAAATAAACTAATTGGATAATTGTCAGCAAATAAAACAATTTGGATTATTTTAGATGAGACTTAGAATTTTCCTCTTAATGGGAAAATAAAGACAAAACTAATATGTGTAAACTCTTTCTCTCTCTCAATCTTTCTCTCTTGTCTTGTTTACCAATAATAATCATTGATCCACTGAAAAATTAACCAATGAAAAAAAAAGTCTTTAATAAAGCTAAATAAGAAATTTCATAATTTAAATAAAAACTATTTGAATGTTTATTTAATTTTCAAAATATTAATTTAATTTGTACTAAAAATTTACATTCATTTGAGATTAGCTGTAGATTTCAACCAATCGTAAATGACGAATGAATCATGATCACTAGACTTTCATAATTAAGAAGAAAACAGAAGGAAGAGAAGTTTATGGTGTGTTGATTAGTAATATGAGTTTATTTTTATCGATATGAAAAAACAAAAACAGTTTTTTATTTGATTTTTAGATGGAGTCCATAAATAAAAATGAAATTCTCAACAATTTTATTGCAATTACACAATGTTCCAATGAAGAAGCAACACGATATTTAGAAGCTGCACAATGGAATGCGGAAACTGCTATGGAAATCTTTTTTGATGATGGTGGTTCTCATACCGGTGGACCTACTCCTTCGACTAATACCAATGTTAATCAAGCTGTTTCTGGTTTGTAGCTTTTTGCTTTTTACTTTTTTGCCATGGTAACATAATATGCATATGTTTTCTTTTTTTGTGTCTATAGGACAAATAGCATCCGGTGGAACAGGTGGGTATGAATCAGATGATGAGAGTCCAATGCAAACTGCTATTGATGAAAGTCTTCGAGCTAGTGCAGCTGCAACAAAATCAACATCAGCAGTATCCAAAGAAGATAAAAATAAAAATTCATCAGCATCATCATCATCAAAATTTGGTACTATTGGTAGTTTACATAAAGAAGAAGAAAGTTCTGAGGAAGAAGGTTATTAACGACTATTTTTTATTGATCAAAAAAACCAATTTTTTACTAGGTCAAGCTTTTTATGCTGGTGGTTCCGAACGAAGTGGTCAACAAATAATTGGACCACCAAAGGCTAAAGATATGGATAAAAAAGTAACTAAAATATTTGAAGCAGCTCGTAAACAAGGTGCCCTTGAAGCTGATGACGATGAACATGGTTCGTCATCACAAACAAAAAAAGAAAAAGCATTTGCTGGTGTTGGATACACTTTAGGTTAGATGGTGTATTTCAGTGTTGTAACCGGTAATAGTAAACGACTGGTCCGATCCAATAGAGTATTTCTTATCGGTCGATATCGATTCTTTTTCCCATTTTTGCATGTTGTTTTTTCGTAAATCAAATCATTTCTACTGACATCAATGACTATTTCTGTTAGAGAATATGTATTAAAATATTTCTATTAAACAGAAAACTTGTCTAAGTGTCAACTCGTTTTTGAGTCGAGACTATATGTATCATGTTGGCTCTAATGAGATATGAATACCTTGAAAAGAGTTAAGATTAACCCTTTGGTTAAGGAACATGTATATAATACGTTTTGAATTTTACTTAAAGTACGGTTGCGAAATTTTTTTTTCTTGATTAGACCACAAGAGTATCCCTTATTACTCTCGTGTTGCCTCATCATCGTGACATGGAATAGTTTTATACACTGTATTTATCTACTTTCTTCTGCATTCTGTTGATATAGACTCGTTATGATATATTTCGTCATAATAGTTCAGTCGAATTTTCCTTCTCTTTTCTTTGTACTTTTCTTCTTGCCGAATGATGTTCTTTGTTTCTGTCGTGACTTACAATTGTTCATGGAACGAGTTTTAGAGCATTCATGAAAGTTGAAAATACCTACGCATCGTATGTTGTAGTTCTTCAACATATTCCATAGGGTTTTTCCAATGTGTTCACATANAGATTTATTTTATCTGACGTAGCATTGATATAATCTAACCAGATATCATTTTATTTCTTTTATTGTTTCTGTATTTTAATGATGCAATAGCGTCTGAGTTTTTCTATAAATTTTATTATAGATATTATCAAACGAAAGAAATTAGACTGAAGCCAAGTATCTGATTGAGAGTTGGAGCTGAGTCTCTTTTGATATAGTTAAAATGAAGTTTTCGTGGTATTTCTTAATGATAAAGTTCGACTGAGAAGATTTTTTAAAACAATTTTTAAGTAGATATGAATGTAGTTGTAAATTTTGTTTTTTTATTTTAGTTACACGTATGAAAATATGACTATTATCAAAATAATCAATTGTCGATTTACATGCTTATTTTTATATATCTATTATTAGTTATAATATGAAATTAATAAAATTACTTTTATTGTCGATCAATTATTCCAAATATTATTTTCGTGTTAATAGAGATAAAATTCATTTTTAATCATAAATTTAAAATCAATAGATTTCATTATTTTTTTCTTTAATTTATCTGAATGAGAAAAAGAAGAAATAAATGAATATATATATTATTTTCAGGTATTTTGGAAAAAGAACAAGAACAAAGTGTTGTCTATGGTTCGACTGATTTCGGTAAAACTTGTGCAACTAATGAAAAATATAAAGAATTGGTAAATAAAAATATTTTTATTATTAACTAAAACAAATCTTATTTTTATTAGTTGGAAAAAGTTTCAACTATGCTTAAAATTAAACCACATTCAATAAAAACAGAGAAAGGCGATGTTGTTGAATTATTGACAGCTGTCGAATGCAAAGGTATTGTTGGTAATGATGGACGACATTATTTATTAGATTTATTACGTATGATGCCACCTGATTTGAATTATTTGCCAGGTTAGTTAAAAAATTTTCGAATAAAAAAAACATTATTGAATTGAAATTCTTCAACACAGCAAAAAAAATCACGTTTGTCTAAATATGTTTGTAACAGATATAGGCAAGATGGTGTTGATTCCGCGGAGTTTTTTTCTAGCCAGTCAGGTCAAGAAATACGGCTGTATCCGGTCGAGAAAGTAGGGACAATGATAAGAACTTGGAAACATGAGTTGGTGATGACAGGAACTAAAAAAAATCTGGTCACCGGATGCCTGCTTCCGAGTACATAACATTGTCCCGAGTTTTAAGGCTGGAAATAACATCTTTCCGGCGGGAACCTACAGGAAATTTACGCATCCGGACACCGGAATCATTGATTAGGGCAGGACTGGGATCAATACTTTTTCATTGAAAACGGTAACTTTCATGTTCATGTAAAACTTGCATCGAATATCATATTTGTCACGACCTATGTGTTCTCAGTAGATATGTGCAAGATAGTCCCACTTACATCTAGATCATAAAGTGAAGCATCTATTACAAAACTAAGAATAATCTTTGGATGTATTATTATTATTGTTTTGATGTCTCTTATGGTCAGATAAGGACGAATATTTTTGGTTTCAGATGAAAAATAAGATATGTTTTTTGAGAAAAACAAAGTAAAAGAATACTCAACTACAATATTATGCAAAGAATTGTTTTACGTTCAATGAGGCTTTTGCGTGATTTTTATAGTCAGAGAAAATGAATACAAATTTTACGACCAGAACATCACACTCTAACATGTGCGCCATTAATCAAATAGTTTTCAGAGCAATGTTATTTTATAGAGAAAAAAAACTTCTCTCAAAATATAATTTCGATGTTAATGCTTTGTTCATATTTATAAATCCTTATAGAAATTTGAATATCATAATTATGAATATAATTAAATATCAAATAATGAATTTTTTTTTTTTTTTAGTTGATGTTGAACATATTTCACCCGCTATGAAACAATTTGATTATCCAAAAACGCATAAACATCGATTATGTTGTTTAAGACAAGAATTAATTGATGCTTTTATTGAGTAAGAAAAATTTTCAATACAAGAACAAAATATTTTCTATTTTAAAAAAATTCTTTCTAGACAAAAATATGTTGATTTCTATCGATCAATAGCACTTAATTTATCTAAATTAAGATCAACGGAAGTATGTTGATAATTTATTTAAAACAAAAACTAATAAATATTTATCATTATTTTTGTTTTTATCTAGTCATCTACAGCAAATGATACAACTCAACAAACAAATGTTGAAGAAGCTAAACGTATTGTTAATGAAATCAGTGGTATGATAAATCTATAAATCAATATAAATTTAAATTTAATGTTGCTGTTGTTTTTTTAGTTGAAGATAATAGTCGAGAAATCATTCAGTCTGCTTGTCGTTCAATAGGATCAGTAAAAGATAATGAATTTGATGTTCGTTTTAATCCTGATCTATTTCAACCACATGTAACATTAAGTCAAACGGTATAGAAAATTGTTTTAGTTATTGATTTTTCTTTTTGAAAATTATTTGTTTATTCTAGCCGGCAGAAACAGCAGCTGATATCAAATTATTAAAAGAAGCCGCAGAATATTTAGTATTAAAACAAATTCCATTAATGATACAAGATTTTCAAGATCATTCAGCTGTACCAGTCGATGGTGAAAGTCTATCAGAAGCTATGCATTCAAGGTATTTTACTAATTCAACATTTTCAAAAGACAAATTTTTAATTCTATTATTTAGAGGAATTAATATTCGTTATCTTGGTCGAGTAGCTCAACTTCTTAATCAACAATCATCACTTTATTATATTTATGTATATAACAAATTCCATTAATTTTTTTGTTTTTAAATAATTTTTGTTTTTAATACATAGGATATTGCTGTAACTGAAATTCTTTGTCGAAGTGCAAAACATGTTTTTCGTAGTTATACACAATCCGTACCACTTCATTTATTATCATTTTCAATAAGTCATTTTCTAAATTGTTTTCTAACAATTATAACTTCACCATCATCGGAATATTTATCTGATGAATTTTTATCATCATCATCATCTTCAACATTAACAAATAATGGTCCAATAAATACAAATTCATCATTAACAAATTTAACAAATTCTTCATCTCAAAAACCTACTAATAAAAAAAAGAATAAAAAACATCAACAACGTAAACAAAATCCATTTATACGAAATGGTAAGACGAAAAATATATATGTGATAATTATATCATAATTAAAGTTCGTTCGGATCCAACACTATTGAATCTGAACAACACTCCTAATTTCAATTACTATTCAGCAAAATTTACTACGCATATTCTGGTGTTCTGCGCAATATGTAAAACAGTGTATATATTGGAAGTGACAGATGTTCTATACATTTTGCGTCTGTTTGCTACGCCTACGATTAGAAACACTGTTTAGAATCAACCCGACGACCTCTTATCGTAGCTTTCTGGCTAATAGCTATCACAAGGTCTTTGTAGATGGCCTTCTATAACTTTTACGTATATAGTTTTGAAAAGACGTTTTCTAGATTATTTTGATTACCTATTAGCTCTTTACAATCAATAGTAAGAAAATCAGAGAATGTTAATTTCAAATATTTTTCTTTTTTAATGAATTTATTTTCAAAAATTTTGATAAACAATATTGATAAGAAATGATTTGAATATATTTACTCTTTATTCATAGTTATCAAATGATGTTTAAATTATTTATTAAATAAAAACTTATTTGGCTAATACTATTCTTTTGTGTATTTAGAAAATTCTCTTAGAAAAGTGATAAAAATTGATCTAGAATCAATCTGTTACTTCTAAAACATGCGTTGGATAGTTTATTCATATGGGACTTTCTTAACAGGTTCTTTATAACAGTCTAGCATAGTCAAAAGAATATGTTTGATATTTTCTTCGCTAATTTAAGCAAAGATAAATATAACAATTGATATATATGAGATTCTTATCATCCAAGTCATTATTGATTATCATTTGTTTTTCTTATCTTTTACAACATGAAACAGAAACATATTATCGATAGTTGTTATGAAGCAAAATATAAAATTCTTTAGTCAAACATTTCATTCCAATACTTTGAAGGTTTTTTCCGATGTTTCTCACTAAGATATTTTTATTTTAGAATCATTAGACTTTTTATCGTTAACATCCAAAACACTTTGGTTACAATTAACAAATGAAGCTAAATCAAGATATAATTTTGATTTAAACTGGTAAATAATATTAAATTTAATATTTCTAATTTCTTTTTATGATTTTTTTCTTATATTTTAGTGATGATATAGAAAATTTTCTCGAAAAATACAATGTTCGTCGTACATGTATTTTACGTTCATTTTGTTCAAAAACTGGTTTACAATTATCTATCCGTGAATATCAATTTGATCTAGCAAATAAATCCACTCGTACAAATAATGAATGTTTTAATGAAGAAGATATTATTAATATCTATCCATTAATTAAACAAGTTCCTCCAAAAGTAAAAGCAAAACTATTATCATAAGCCTTGCGCTATTTAAATATTAAACATAATATTCTAGCTACTGTTGTTAATGGCAGAGAGATTATTAGATTCTATTTATTTTGGGACACGCTTCTTCAGTAGCTTTCTCCAGAAGTGCCATTAGATAGTTCATATATTAGAATGAGATGTTATTGATATACGGCCTATGACATGGGAAGAAATTTTCTGAGGCGCCTGTCACGTACATCTATAACGCTTGTCACGATTTGTAACATCCGTGAAGGGGGGGGGGGGCCGGGCGGTGTTGGCGAAAGCGTCGTCACGGCCTGT